AACACTAGTTAATGAGGGATTCAGGAGTGGGTATTAGTGACTTCCTGTTCACATAAGTATTTTAGAAGTACAGATTTAATACTTACATATGTTTGAACTACACTCAAGCCTTGACCTCTTGACCTCTTGACCTCAGGAAGCTAACACCTCAAGAGATGGTCATGTGAAAAGTATCTGTTAACTGTGAATGGTGTGGCTCTTCATCCTACTCACCAGTCCCTCCCAGTTATTGATACACCATTATTATAGAAAGGCTTAGCTTGAGAACACGTGGCGGTAATAATGCTCAGACAGTCAGAAAACTTTAACATAAAAGTGATTAATTTACGAGCAGTTGTTTGAAGTTGTCTCCCCTCAGTACTAAATCTGTACAAGGAAATGTTAGTAAGAGAAACTTGTATAATATAGTGGTAAAATATAAGCTATAATCTGTGTTATTATCTGAGTATTATAGGTAGTGGTATATAAGTCTTAATGATCGGTAATCCTTATGAGTCCTATTCCATGTCCTAAAGAGGTTCAAGTCCTTGTTCTTTATGTTAGGATAGGTTGGGGTCTGTTAGGATAGGTTGGGGTCTGTTAGGATAGGGTGGGGTCTGTTAGGACAGGTTGGGGTCTCTTAGGACACGGGTCTACTTGATCTGTAACCCTGAAATCAAGACAGTGTGTCCGGCCTATTGTGGCAGTGACCAACCTAAGTGGCTTATGAGGTACGCTCTTTCTACACTCCTCCCAAATTTGCTAGCCCACACTGATTAGTCTTCAATTAGAATATGACTCCAATGTATGTGATCCACTGACCTATATATGCTGCTGGTGAATGTGATGTATTTCCTTCTTTGTGTACGAACCTCTGTCCTGCGTGGCAGTGAACAGTGGCATTACCCACATGAATCTGACCTATATATAGTGTCAATGAATATGATGCATTCTTTGTGTACGAACCTCTGTCCTGTATGGCAGTGAAAAGTGACATTACCCACATGAATCTGACCGACGTATATGTATGTATGTGTGCGTGTGTGCATGTATATGTACGTGTACATGTATATGTGTATGTATATACGTATATGTATGTATATGTGTGTGTGTGTGTGTTTACATATATGTATATGTACTGTCAATGAATATGATGCAACTCTTTGTGTACGAACCTCTGTCCTGCATGGCAGTGAACAGTGACATTATCCATTTGAACCTGACCTATATACATTTATAGTTGTTAATGAATATGATGTATTTCTTTGTGTGTGAACCTCTGTCCTGCGTGACAGTGAGAAGTGATACCACCCTCAGTGTCAAGACCTGACTGAATTACTCAGAATAGGCAAACTGTACTACAAGCTCTGCCAATAAATTTGTTAAACAAAAAAAATCCTCCTCTCTTCCCATCTCCTCTTCTCTCCCTCTTTCACCTGATCTCTCCAGTACCCCCCGTCTCTCTCTCTCTCTCTCTCTCTCTCTCTCTCTCTCTCTCTCTCTCTCTCTCTCTCCATTTAGAAATAAAATGGATGAGTAGTCAGTCATGGGAGAGAGTCTTGGGAAAGGAGGAAGAAGGAGAGAAGTGGAGGAAAAGAGAAGGAAGGAGAGAGGGAAGGGAGAGAAGTTGAGTGGGAGAGGGAAGTGGAGGAGGACAAAGGGAGGAATAAAGGAAGAGAGAGAGGGAGAGAGAGGGGGTGGTGAGGATAGAGGAGACGAGGCTTAATATCAAAGGGACAATGCTAGCGTTGTTGGTGGTGGTGGTGGTGGTGAAGCAGGGATGCACCTACTTGTCCTCCTCTCTGGTTGTTATTACTGTGTGGCTCACCTGGGGCATAGGGCGCTCACCTCACCTCACCTCACCCCCGCCCCGCCCCGCCCCGCCCCGCCCCGCCCCGCCCCGCCCCTTCCCCATCCCCCTCTGTTTTTCCACGGGTATACTGTATATGTGTACTGAACTTACACACAAGTAAATATATGAGGCACTTTAATTTGGCAAGTACAGTACAGTATCTTCCTAAAGTATCTGCCAGGATGGGTCAGATGACTTCCATAATGCTACATGTAACTCTTCATGTCCCGGGAGGTTGGTATGCGTGGCTCTGTGGCTCAGGAGGGTTGGCATGTGTGGCTCTGTGGCCAGGAGGTTGGCATGTGTGGCTCTGTGGCCGGGAGGGTTGGTATGTGTGGCTCTGTGGCCAGGAGGGTTGGTATGCGTGGCTCTGTGGCCCGGGAGGGTTGGTGCGTGGCTCTGTTGCCCGGGAGGAGGGGGTTGGTATGCGTGGCTCTGTGGCCCGGGAGGGTTGGTATGCGTGGCTCTGTGGCCCGGGAGGTTGGTATGCGTGGTGGCAGGAGGTTGGTATGTGTGGCTCTGTGGCCAGGAGGGTTGGTAGTGTGTGCTCCGTGGCTCTGTGGCTCAGGGAGGGTTGGTATGAGTGGCTCTGTGGCCCGGGAGGGTTGGTATGTGTGGCTCTGTGGCCCCGGAGGGTTGGTATGCGTGGTTCTGTGGCACACTGATGCTGCTACATTTGGTAACCGAACATCATATTAATTTCACAGAAGTAAATACACATTACATTACTTATGTTAAACTATATAACAAATTAAATGCTTGTCCCAGTATCTATCATCTGTGGTCTCAAATGTTTCATAGTGAGGTCAGATACTTTTATGAGAGTGTACATACATTATAAACACACACACACACACACACACACACACACACACACACACACACACACCCACAGAGCGCGCGCGTGCGGGTAATTGAGGAATGCAACACGATACTTGTGACCGTAAAAGAGGGTATAAAGACGGGTTATAAAAAGGAGAGGAATGCCGGAGTGATAACGGTGTGTAAAAGAGGAAAGAGGGGAGGAGAAGGAGTGACTAAGAGTAGAGTAGGAGGGGATGGTGAGGGGAAGGGAAGGAGGTAAGAGGGAGGATAGTAGGAGGGGGGGGAATTAGAAGGGAGAGAGGGAGGGAGGAAAGAACAGGGAGAACGGAATGGATAGCAATAGAGAGGGAGAGAGAACGGGAAGGAAAGAAGGATGAGATATAGGGAGGAAAGAAGAATAGGAAGGGATGGGGGTGAGAGGGAGTGAAAGGAGAGTAGTAAAGGATGATGATGAGGGGAGGGGAGGGGGGTGGAAGGGGAGGAGCCACTTGCGGTAGCCCCAAAAATGCTCGCGAGGGGAATAATAATTAGGGGGACGGAGATAAAAGAAAAAAGAAGAGGAAAAATTGGAAAGAATCAGTGTAGCGTTCACTTTTATTGCTCTAAGTAACCATGTTATCATTTGGTTCTTATCCACCCATTTATCATGTGTTCTTCCTCTTCCCTGCTTCTTCTCTGCTCCCAAACTTCTACTCTTCCATTTTTATCTCTGTTATTTCTGTGTTTTTTCGTATCGTTCGTGGATTTTTTTTTATGAATTCTTAATTTGTGTCGTTTTGGGATTAATTATTTTTTGTGTGTCGTCTGTGGATTAATTTTTGGGGTCATCGTTTATGGATATATTTTTACATGTATTTTTTTAAAGGTCGTTTTTGTTTGTTTTTGTCAGAATATTTTATGGATTAGTTTCATCAGTCTTCACACATTTATTTGTCCTTTGTGTGTGTGTGTGTGTGTGTGTGTGTGTGTGTGTGTGTAGAACCATGCTGAGGACGGGGAGGGGTCAGTGGGGTCAAGAGGGGGTAGATGGGGGAAATGGGGTGGTAGGAGGTAAGTGGTGGGCTGGGGGCTGGGGGCAGGGGGCTGGGGATATACATGTGGTGTACACAGCTGCTGGCAACAGAAAAAAAAATTTAGGACTGGATCGTAATTTTTGTGTGTGTGTGGCAGACCGAGCCGCAGCTGACGACCTCTGAGAGATAACACACTACCAACCTGACCCCCTGATGACCGAAGTTAATTCCTTTGTACACAACTAAACACACAGTTAACTTGCTAGTGTGAACAAGTCGGCTCCGATGTACACAACTAAACAAAAAATATACCGGAAATGCTCTGTAACATTCAGTGCCATAATATCCTGACTACTAGGGGTCTGGTATACACATCCTCTGTAACCTCTGCTCTGTAATCATTTTTTTGCACTACCGTTCATTGGGTGCACAATAAACTAGTCACAATCTGCGGTAAAATTCAATTCAAAAGCTAATGGATCGTCCGGCCTATAAGCGACGATTTTAGTATTTAATAGAAGGTTTTAGGACATTCCGCGACGCCAGTGATTCTCCGTGATCCTGGCAATGTAATTAAGGACTTTACGGCGTCTTAGTTGAGGTAAGAATGATATTCTGTTGGTTTGAACATGCAGACGTACGTGTTTCTGTGTCCTAACTCATCAGATACACTCCATCTCATCTGTCCCTATTGTCCCCGGCTCTAATCGGCTCCAACCCAATCTAAATAAACCTAAGCATTAAGATTAGGGGGCCCCAGTCCTTAATCCTGGTGGTTAGGTTAGATTAAAGTCCACAACCCTTTGTTTAGCATTTTTATTACGTGTAGAGTGTAAGTTGTTCAGAATAATTCCCAAACGCGACGTCTCAGATGAATGTAGAACAACGTGGGAAACTGTACTCGTATGAAGCGAGACGTGGCAGATGGTCGAGCATGTAACTTAAAGATAAGAATTGGGTCTTTTGTTTCATTCGCTTTGGAAGAAGTTGGTGGCAGCGTCCCAGGGCTAAACTGCACGCCTCTAGCCTCCAGCCTCTAACCTCCAGCCTCTAACCTCTAGCCTCCAGCCTTTAACCTCCAGCCTCTAACCTCCAGCCTCTAACCTCCAGCCTCTAACCTCTAGCCTCCAGTCTTTAACCTCCAGCCTCAACCTCCCAGCCTCAACCTCTAGCCTCTAACCTCCAGTCTCCAGCCCCTCTAGCTTCTCTCCAGCCTCAACCTCTAGCTCAGTCTCAGCCTCTAACCTCTAGCTTCTAGTCTCCAGCCTCTAACCTCCTAGCTTCCCAGTCTCCAGCCTCCTAACCTCTAGCTTCCAGTCTCAGCCTCTAACAGAGTCTCCAGCAAAGCCTCCAGACTCCCAAACTCTAGTCTTAAACTTGACATTCCTCGTCCCTAGTGAACACAGGACGGCATCACCTGGGTCCTTCACTGAGGGCATCACCACCAGGTCCTTCACTGAGGGCATCATCACCAGGTCCTTCACTGAGGCATCATCACCAGGTCCTTCACTGGTGCATCACCACCAGGTCCTTCACCAAGGGCATCGCCACCAGGTCCTTCACTGAGGCATCACCACCAGGTCCTTCACTGAGGCATCACCACCAGGTCCTTCACTGGGGGCATCACCACCAGGTCCTTCACTGAGGCATCACCACAGGTCCCCACTGAGGCATCACCACCAGGTCCTTCACTGTGGGCATCACCACCAGGTCCTTCACTGTGGGCATCACCACCAGGTCCTTCACTGAGGGCATCACCACCAGGTCCTTTACTGTGGGCATCACCACCAGGTCCTTCACTGTGGGCATTACCACCAGGTCCTTCACTGAGGGCATCACCACCAGGTCCTTTACTGTGGGCATCACACAGGTCCTTCACTGAGGGCATCACCACCAGGTCCTTCACTGAGGCCACACCAGGTCCTTTACTGTAGGCATCCCAGGTCCTTCACTGAGGGCATCACCACAGGTCCTTCACTGAGGCATCACCAGGTCCTTCACTGTCACCACCAGGTCCTTCACTGGGGCATCACCACCAGGTCCTTCACTGGCATCACCACCAGGTCCTTCACTGAGGCATCACCACAAGGTCTTTCACTGAGGCATCACCACCAGGTCCTTCACTGAGGGCATCACCACCAGGTCCTTCACTGATGGCATCACCACAAGGTCTTTCACTGGGGCATCACCACCAGGTCCTTCACTCATCACCACAGGTCCTTCACTGAGGCATCACAAGGTCCTTCACTGAGGCATCACCACAGGTCCTTCACTGGGGGCATCACCACAGGTCCTTCACTGAGGGCATCACCACCAGGTCCTTCACTGAGGCATCACCACCAGGTCCTTCACTGAGGGCATCACCACCAGGTCCTTTGTGAGGCATCACCACCAGGTCCTTCACTGAGGGCATCACCACCAGGTCCTTCACTGGGGGCATCATCACCAGGCAATCGTGTCGTATTTCTGCCGTAAATTTGCCTCAGGATGGCCATAGCGTCCATCAGCAGCGTGTTGGGTGGGGTTAACCTGGCACTAGGGAGGGCTGTGCCAAGTGTGAAGTGCCGCGTCCGAGGCCTCTTGGTGCCCGCTGGAGAGAATGACTCTCGCCCAGAGGAGGAGGGGAGAGAGAAGAAGGGGTGGTAGAGAGAAAGAGAGGAGAGATAGGTGGAGGTTTGGAGGGAGAGGATAAAGGAATGGATGGAGTAGTGATAAAGAAGACAGAGAGAGTTGGGGATAAGGTAGGGAGGGTAGAAAGAGAGAGAGAGAGAGAGAGAGAGAGAGAGAGAGAGAGAGAGAGAGAGAGAGAGAGAGAGAGATAAATAGAAGGATGGAAATGTGACAGAGACAGCGAGGAAAGGAGGGGAGGAGTAAAAGAAAAATGGAGTGATAAAGAAAAAAGGCAGAGAAAGAAGGAGAGAACACACACACACACACACACACACACACACACACACACACACACACACATACACACACACACACACACACACACACAGGCACATAATTCAAGACACTACCCACACACAGTCATGTCCATAATTAAACCTCTCGCTACATTTCAAGGTGTGTAAATTAGATGGTAATATACTACACTTTATAATGGTGGGTGTGGTCCTGATAGCCGCGGCGTGTTAAGAGTTGGCACCCTGTTGCCGGACACATAAACAAGGTATTAAAACACGTTAATACAAGATCCAGAGAACAATAAACTATGTAAACGATGTTGCACTTTATTCTACTCGTTTCTTTTATATTTATTTATTAAACAGAAACATTGAGAAGACTATTTCTTCCTTGTTTTATTTAGCTTTTACACACACTACAACACACACGCACACACACACACACACACACACACACACACACACACACACACACACACACACACACACACACACACACACACACACACACACACACACACGCACACACACACACACACATGAGACAATCTGACGTGGAACCAAAGCCGTCACAGTTCCTTTCATTTCACGATGATATTATAAACAAGAGGAAAAAAAAATGAAACACCAGGCTTTAACAGCAGGATGGCAGCCAACACCTCCCCCTCCCCCTCTCGCCCTCCCCCCACTCGCCCCTCCCCCCCTCCTTCCCCCCCTCGCCCTCCCCCCCCTCCCCGCCTAAGCTTATTGCGAGCGAAAGTGTTTGACAAGAGTATTGGGACCAGAGTTAGACTGAGCGATAAATCCAAGGGGATAGTGGGAGAGACTGTGGGAGAGAGAGAGACTGTGGGAGAAAGACTGTGGGAAAGACTGTGGGAGAGAGACTGTGGGAGAAGAGACTGTGGGGAGACAGAGAAAGAAGCAAGAGGACGAGAGATGATGCTCTTACTATTGACAGGACAAGAGAAAACAAACAGGTCTCTTGGTTTACAACGAAGGCGAGAGGGGAAGGGAGGGGGGAAGGGGGGGGGGTGTTAAGTCTCTCAATAACTGATGGACTTTGTAAGGTGTTGTAGGGTTTCGCCGCCGTGTGTAGAGAAGCCCCTTGATGGTCAGGTCAAGGCTGAGGATTGGAACTGGTAAAATCGCTTTATGTTTTTGTGAGAGAGGGAGGGGAAGGAAGGAAGGAGGGGGGTGGAAGGATGGAGAGATAGAGGGTGTTAGGAAGGGATGGAAGGATGGTGAATAAGAACATAAGAACATAAGAAAATAAGGAGTCTGCAATAGGTCGGTTGGCCTGTGCATGGCAGCTCCTGTCGAGAGTTACTACCACTCTCTATCATCCATGAATCTATCTAGCCTCCTTTTGAAACTTTCCAGAGTTCCCGCACTTACTACAAAGTTGCTAAGCTTGTTCCACTCGTCCACCACCCTATTTGTGAACCAGTTTATTCCTATCTCCCTCCTAAACCTAAACTTATCCAACTTGAATCCGTTGCTCCGAGTCCTATCCTGCTCGGATATTATAAGAACTTTATCTATATCCCCTTTATTGATTCCTTTCACCCACTTAAATACTTCTATCATATCTCCCCGCACTCTTCGTCTTTCTAGGGAATGCAAGTTAAGTTCCTTAAACCTATCCTGATATGGAAGGTTTCTAAGTCCCGGTATCATTTTTGTCATTCTTCGCTGCACCGACTCTAGTGAATTTATATCCATTCTATAATAGGGAGGGAAATATAGAAGAAATGAAGAAGTGAGGGGAATGGAAGGAAGGAGAGAGAGGGGTAGAATTGGAAGAATGGAGGGATGGAAAGAAGAAAGAAGGGGGGTAATAGAAGGAAGGGCGAAGTAACAGAAGGGAGGAGGGAGAGATAGAAGGATGAAGTAACATAAGGAAGGGTAAGGTGATGGAAGGAAGGAAGGATAGGGTGATAGAAAGAAGGAATGAAGGAAGGAAGGAAGGAAGGAAGGAAGGAATATATATAGGATTCGTATTAAATAAGACCCTCGTCAAAAACCTTCACCAGTTAAGGCGCTTGTTGGGTTATAGAGAACAGTCTTCTTTAATAACCTTGTGGTAGTATTTTAATAAGTCTTTGTGGCGGTTATTAACGCCCTCTGGTAAAGTCGTTTGGCTTGAGGCTAATAGGATCTGGCACTGTTCCCGTGGATGATTCTTAGCCAGTAGTATGGTTCGTTGTGGATGATTCTTAGTAGTATGGTTGGTTGTGGATGATTCTTAGCCAGTAGTATGGTTGGTTGTGGATGATTCTTAGTAGTATGGTTGGTTGTGGATGATTCTTAGCTAGTAGTATGGTTGGTTGTGGATGATTCTTAGCCAGTAGTATGGTTCGTTGTGGATGATTCTTAGTAGTATGGTTGGTTGTGGATGATTCTTAGCCAGTAGTATGGTTGGTTGTGGATGATTCTTAGCCAGTAGTATGGTTCGTTGTGGATGATTCTTAGTAGTATGGTTGGTTGTGGATGATTCTTAGCCAGTAGTATGGTGGGTTGTGGATGATTCTTAGTAGTATGGTTGGTTGTGGATGATTCTTAGCCAGTAGTATGGTTGGTTGTGGATGATTCTTAGCCAGTGGTATGGTTGGTTGTGGATGATTCTTAGTAGTATGGTTGGTTGTGGATGATTCTTAGCCAGTAGTATGGTGGGTTGTGGATGATTCTTAGTAGTATGGTTGGTTGTGGATGATTCTTAGCCAGTAGTATGGTTCGTTGTGGATGATTCTTAGCCAGTAGTATGGTCCGTTGTGGATGATTCTTAGCCAGTGGTATGGTTCGTTGTGGATGATTCTTTAGCCAGTAGTATGGGTGGGTTTGTGGATAGTTCTTAGTATAGTATGGTTGGTTGTGGATGATTCTTAGCTTCTAGTAGTATGGTTGGTTGTGGATGATTCTTGTAGTAGTGGTTTCGTTGTGGATGATTCTTGGTATGGTTGGTTGTGGATGATTCTTAGCCAGTAGTATATGGTGGGTTGTGGATGATTCTTAGTAGTATGGTTGGTTGTGGATGATTCTTAGTAGTATGGTTGGTTGTGGATGATTCTTAGTGGTATGGTTGGTTGTGGATGATTCTTAGCAATTTGGTTGGTTGTGGATGATTCTTAGCCAATAGTAACAGTAGTATGGTTGGTTGTGGATGATTCTTAGTAGTATGGTTGGTTGTGGATGATTCTTAGTAGTATGGTTGATTGTGGATGATTCTTAGTAGTATGGTTGGTTGTGGATGATTCTTAGTAGTATGGTTGGTTGTGGATGATTCTTAGCAATTTGGTTGGTTGTGGATGATTCTTAGCCAATAGTAACAGTAGTATGGTTGGTTGTGGATGATTCTTAGTAGTATGGTTGGTTGTGGATGATTCTTAGTAGTATGGTTGGTTGTGGGTGAGTCTCATTAAAATCGTCGTGGAATATCGTCAATCTTCTTGGGATTCTCAGCCGATGGTAAATATTTTAACAAGAGTCAGAATTATTGGTAATGTCTCCACTAACATCTTTAGAGGAGGTTCTTACAGGAGATCAAGTTACTTATTGATCCCTTGATTACGATGATATACCCCTGAAAATAAGGTGTCCATGTACTCAAGGGGTTGTCATCGTACTCAAGGTTGTCAGTTTGTCATCGTATTAAGCATCGTCTGTTAAATCATCGTACCAAGGGTTAAATCATCGTACTCAAGGGTTAAATCATCGTACTCACGGTGTTAAGTCATCGTACTCACGGGTTGTCATCGTACCACGGGTAAGTCATCGTACTGGGGTTGTCATCGTACTCTGGGGTTAAGTCATCGTACTCAAGGGGTTAGTCATCGTACTCCTGGGGTTAAATCATCGTACTCAAGGGTTAAATCATCGTACTCCTGGGGTTAAGTCATCATCGTACTCAAGGGGTTAAGTCATCGTACTCCTGGGGTTAAGTCATCGTACTCCTGGGGTTAAGTCATCGTACTCAAGGGGTTAAGGAAAATACAAGCAGCGTGTTGTTAACGTGTTTGTATACGGCAACAATAGCTTCTGGTAAAATGCTTTAAGGAGATCGAGTAACTCTTGGTAAGATTCTTCTGGAAGACTTAAATACCGACTGCATTTGATAAAGCTCATCTCGAAGACTCAAACAGTCTTGTCCAAGAGTTTGTGGGTGATGCAAACGACTTCAGCTGGAGGTCCTTGAGAAAGACTTACAGCCTTGATATCGTTCATGTGGAAGACTTGCTGCCTTAAGAGAGATAAACTGTCTCTTGTTAAGAACTTTGTGGCAAATATAAGCCTTTAGTGATGAGTAACTTACTGTACATAGAGACCATTAAAGATCAAGCATCTACGAGGAGTTTTAAAACCTGCTGAAGAAGACTGCAGGTCCTCGACGACGCAGTCTGACAGTAAAGGTTTAAGGTCGTAGTGGGCCAAGATAAGCCCCCTGACCGCGGGCTCCCAGTCAGTACGGAAGCCCCGCTGGCAAGCCGCTTTGTCCGTCTGCTAACAAGCATGGAGGGCGCTGGGTTGCCGAGGGCTT